TTATTGTAATACAATACCTATAGACATTATCACAGAGCCAGTATTAATCACAAAATATAAGAACAACCAGCAGAGTTTCTCTCAAGATTACATTAATGTTAGAGGACAGATGTTAAAAGAATCAGATTCAATGCTTGCAAGTAAGTGGAAAATAGCAAAATGCTTGGTATGTTACCAGTGCAGCAGATGTGGATGTTATAGTCTGAGGGAGTTGGGGTGACTGAACAACCATCCCAATATTGCAAAATATTTAAAAGGCTATATATCTTCTGATTTTGTTTTCTAATAAACACTTTCATGTAAATTACTTTTATTGTTTATGTAGAAGGAAAGGCTCACTTCGTATTTGGAAAAATACCCTTTCCCACATGGTAACTAGCTGAAGAGAAGCATTTCTACCTAAAGACGAGTTATGTTCACAGAGATATCGGAAGACGTTGATAGCAGTGGCCAGAGCAGTGAGAGTGGTTAACATTGGGAAGCCGGAAAATCACTATGGCTACTGTATCCTTAGAAAAAGCCACAGAAAAAGGCTCCTCAGATCAAGCTAATAGATCCACATATTTTATTTCAACTCTTCTGAATTTATGGATCTTGTATAGATTTTGCTTTGTTTCAAAAAAACATTATACAGGTGGTCTGGTTCACTCTGAGGTATGTAGTTAATAATGGTGTTTATGTAGATGATGTCATTGTTGCATGACAGGAGAACTCATTACTTGACAATTTGACATGATGATGGTGTTTGTTAAGTTTTACATAATGTTGAAGTTCTACTCAACTTTTGGTTGCTTAAATTCCTATAAAAGAATGCCATATAAAGTCCATATTTTCTTCCTTAAAAATAAAAAACCTGCTTCAATCATGGTTAGTACAAATTAAACCCAATGAATTTACTCAAAATATCAACTCAAGATTGTTTCCAACATTTCATGGATGACGACATCTGTTATCAACCTTGCACGATCTGAAGACAGTTAAAACCTGGTGTGATACAATACAGGTTCAGCCTTTTTTTCTTTTTTTTTTGAACAAGCATTATTTACATAATGTTATGTGAGTGCTTGAAAAAGAGCATTTGTTTGAAATGTTACTAAATAGAAACAAGCTTACCAAGATGTTTTATTATCCATACATTTCTTGCATATTAATCAAAGCTACAGTTGTTTTTTTATGTTGAGGGTATATGTTTTACTGGCTTTGTATTGAGTCATAAACAAATTAAATAATAATCATCTTTTAATAGCTTTTTCATTATTTATTGGATGTAAACCTGGTTAGTTGCAGTACTTTATTTATGATTAAACATTTGTTTTTCTTTTTATTAAGTTAAACAGCAATGCAATGTATACTTAGACATTCAAATATTTAGAGCCAGTGAAATTTAGAATCCTATTGATATAAGAAGTTAATAAGCCCTCATTCGGTAGGGAGGGGTCAGAATGACCCACATTGATTTTGCAATTGATATTCCAACTCAACTAATGCTATTCTCTACCTGATATTTTCTGAACTCTATTCTCAGTCAGTTCTTGAGTGTTGAGCACAGTGAATGTGGTGTTGCAATTCTCTTTCTTACTGTTGTAATTGTTTGTCACCTGTGGGTCATTCTGACCACACTTTATTATAAAGATAATATTTTTGAAGCTTATTACACATAGGTCATTTTGACCCACACTGACATTTAGGATACAAATATTTTACCCCACTAATTGAGGATTAAAAATGTATGATTTGTATAATTTTATAGGCCAGTCCATACATTCAGAAGACAACCTGTAACCACTGTTGTAGGCCCTTATACATTTAAGCCCAAACTATCTTATTAACTTGACAAGTTCAAGCACTATAATTTTAAATAAAAACAAATATTTTTCTTCAGTCACCCAATACCAGTATATACACATTCATCCTCAACTGTTAAAGTGACTGCTAGTCTTAAAAAAGTTGTCACTCAGACAGATAATGGTATTCTTGATCCATTTATAAATCTGGTTTCAGAATTACAAAATGATATTGAAATTCTGGAGAACAAGGTTAAAAAAGCAACAATTTGCTTTAGTCATTGAAGTACAAAGTAAATTGTGAACTTAAATTTATGACTGGATTTATCTAAGTTTTTTTGTTTCAAAATTTTTATATTTTTATTTTATTTAAGTAAAACTTTCTCAAAACAGCTGCATTTCACCAATTAACTAGTTGATTTTGTTTCAAATGAGACTTTGAGTTCGAAGAAGCTCTTATTGTGTTATTTGATATTAGCCAATCAGCTATGTCAATGAGTTTTATCCATGGGTGTGATTTAAACTTCATAATAGCTAAAAGTATCTGTAAAAGTAATTTTAAAGTCTTAATGGTGTGGACAAGATTGATATGTATGTCATACTGGTACTAAAAAGAAGGCTCAAACCATTACTAGCAAATGGCACATTTCACAAACACAGCCAAAAAAACCTGTGCTGTTTGAAGTGAATAAATCTGAATGTGATATGTGTTTTAAAAGTAAATGTGGAAGGAACTTGCAGTTTGTTGCTACCTCAGCTTTCTTACTTTTTCTCTTTCTTTTGCTTGTCCTGTTTTTGTTCCAAAGTATCTAGTTATACAACAAAAAAGATGACAATAACTTGCCATTTTTTTTTCCCAAGAGTGTAAAGCATCACAGAATACAAATACATTTCTCTTATTCTTAAACTAAAGTGCAAGATGTAGTCTCTAATACTGTTTTTTTTTTTTTTGGTATTAAAAAACCTTGTTTATTGCTGTGCTGCTTTTATAGAAGATACTACTATTCTAATTAAGACAAAGAGCTGTAGAAAAATAAGATATATTTTCAAAATATTTTTGATATGACTAGTCTTGTTAGTAAAAGTTTATTAACCCTCTCCAGACGGGTCTCAGGTCAAAGGCCAGGTCCTTGCATTTGTTGACTCATTCAAAATTTATTAAACTACTATTTCATGAATTTATGTCAATAAGTTTGATATCAAACTGTAGATTATAATTCAATTTAGTATTATAC